CGCTCACACCTCAGGGAACCAGGAAACAGAGCTTGGCAATACATCTCGAGGGCGGCCCTAATGACTCACTTCCTTCACCTAGCTGCCACCTCTTAAAGTTCCACAACCTCCCCAAATAGTACCACTACCACCCCCTGGAGACTAGGTATTCAAATATATCGACCTGTTGGGACATTTTACATGCAAACCATAACCTGCTTCTAGCCCCCATAGGCTCATGACCGTCTCATAATGCAAAATGCGTTCAGTCCAAATTCAACACTCTCCATGGTCTTACAGTTCCAACACTGTTTGAAAGTCCAAAGTCACTCCGAGACTCAAGACAAACTCCTAGCTGTGAGTCCCAGTTTTTAAAAACTTTTATGTATTTTCAACGGATATTAGAGGGGGGAGTCAGAAGATAACAAGGAAAGATAAGCAAGACCAAAACCTTGTAGGGCAAGCACAAACCCCTGCAACCCCTTGTCTGGCATCTTGGCTCATGGTGGAATCATCTGGCTTCTAATACCTTGGGAAGATCCATCCCTCCAGCAGTGGGGCCTGAATCACATATGCCCCCCCACCCCCCCACCCCCCCGTGATGGCTAATCTTGGTTGTCCACTGGAATCAACTAAACCCCAAGCTGCTGAGCATGCCTGCGAAGGATTTGCCTGATCAGATTATCTGAGGCAGGAAGACCCACCCTAAGTGTGAGCCATACCTTCTAGGAGCAGCCCACATAAAAGGACATGGGAAAAAGATGCTTTTGGTATTCTGTTTCTGGCTATCACTGTCCATTCTATCATTGAGGCATTCCTTTGCCTGCATTTCAGAACTAACTTCTTGGAGATTCTGACATAGACTGAAGATCATCAGCTGTCCAGGAATCTTCTAGGACTCCAGTGCCAGACTGAGACTGCTGACATCCAGCCTCATGGTCTGAACAACTACCAATTCTTGACCTTTCGGTCATAAGACAGTCATTGTTGGACTTCACTAGACACAGTCTGTAATCGGGCTAGCAAGTCCCCTTTTAATATAGACATACATCCATTTTATCACTTTCGTTCCCTTTGAGAACCTGAACTAATACACCTCTCTTATGCTAGCTCTATTTCGAGCTCTGGCTCCCTTCAGTGGATAGCCCAGTTTCTCCACTGTAACCTAGGCATCACTTTCAGAGCTCCATGCACAATCCATTCAGAAGCTCTATGCAACTTATATAGTCATGTTACACACTTCTTGGCTCCAGGAACCTTGGTGCAAAGCTCTATGACTCCTTTACACATGCATCTGGGTGCTTCAGTGTCAGCATCAGAAGAATAGCATGCTGACTGGCTCTCTGGGACCACAACTAGAGTGACTTCTATTCTATTGGATCCGGCATCTTTCCTAGGCAGCTGCTTTCCAGAAGAGTACACTGAAGGCTGGATGCTTTCAGACCCTCTACTTGTAAATGAATTTGCATTGTTATAATCTGGAGCCTTTAGTGGATAGGGTCTCATCCTCACTGCACCTTCCCTAAAGTCCAACACTCTTCCTCAATGATGCACTCATTCACCTGAACAATCACAGAAACTTTCTTGACACTAACTCTGTTCTTAAATTTAACTGGGTTCAAATTACTTTCTTCACAAAACTCCATATTTTTCATATCATTCTGCTCTATGTCACTATAAACCTGGGTAAATGTATCCAGTAATACCATGCCCTAGCTGAACATTGTGAGTCATGAAATTTCCTCTGCCAAAGGAAGTAGCATAGAGAGGCAGAGACAATTATGAAGCCATGAGGAGGAAAGAGCCTCTTGCCAGCTGAGAATCAAAACTTCCAGGACAGGGACAGTGAGATGTCTCAACAGGGAAAGGCACCCATCACAAAGCCTTATGACCTGATTTCAACCCCTGTGCCAGCATGGTGAAGGAGAGTGGAAGGGTCACCACTCCTGCAGGTGGCCCTCTGACTTTCACAGGCACACACACACACACACACACACACACACACACACACACACACACACACACACTTGAACATCCACAGAAATAAATAAGTGTAAAAAATAATTTCAAAATAATTAACCTTTTCTGTGAAGGTTGTTGTACTGGATAGATTTATGTCAACGTGATATAAACTACAGTCATCAGAGAGAAGAACATGCCAATTGAGATAAGATTGGGCAGTGGGATGGCCTGCAGAACATTTTCTTAATTAGTGATTAATGGGGAGGGTTCAACCCACTGTTTGTGGTGCCATCCCTGGACTAGTGGTCCTGGGTTCTATAAGAAAGCAGGCTGAGCCGGGTGGTGGTGGCGCACGCCTTTAATCCCAGCACTCGGGAGGCAGAGCCAGGTGGATCTCTGTGAGTTCGAGGCCAGCCTGGGCTACCAAGTGAGTTCCAGGAGAGGCGCAAAGCTATACAGAGAAACCCTGTCTCGAAAAACCAAAAAAAAAAAAAAAAAAAAAAAAAAAAAGAAAGCAGGCTGAGCAAGCCATGCGGAGCAAGCCTGTAAGCAGCACCCATCCATGGCCTCTACATCAGCTCCTGCCTTCAGGTTCCTGCCCTGTTTGAGTTCCTGTCCTGATCTCCTTCAATGATGGACTAATTTGTGAAAGTATAAGCCAAATAAACACTTTCCTTCACAACTTGCTTTTGGTCATAGTATTTTATTAACAGCAATAGAAAGCCTAACTTAAGACAGTTGTTGACATCGAAGCTATACTCCTTTTATATAGAGATTGTTAACAACGAACCATACTTAAGGCCTAAGCTTACGTGGTCTTCAAGCATGGCCTAAATCCTTTCTGAGATATTTTCTGGGAATCCCACAAATAAGACCGAACTTTTTGTTTACAATAAAATCATTTTGGGAGCTGGAGAGATGGCACAATGGTTAAGAATATTGACTGCCCTTCCAGGGGATTTAAGTTCAATCCCCCAGCACTCCCAGGAAAGCTCCCAATCCTGTGTAACTCACTGCAGGAGATATGATGCCCTCTTCTGGCCTCCATACTGCAGACACATGGTGCACAGACATACATGCAAACAAAGCACTCATACACACAGTATAATAAAATATAAATTTTTAAAACTTTTAGATCTAAATTTTCTTTGCAACCCTTGTAACTAACCTAAGGCTTTACCTAGCTAGCTTTAATCCTATCCAATTCACAGGAACTGCCCTATTATGTCATTTAGGTTCCTTAGCAACCCTTAGAGATATAACTTCAAAAGCCAAGAAAAAAGTATATACAGCTACTGTGAATATGCTTCCGTGAGACTTTGAGAAGCCTACACCCTTGGTGTCAGGTATGTCTTTCTTCCAGAGTGCCTCTTTCTCTTAATCCTCATGCTTAAAATCTACATTAAAAGCTCTGTTTCATACTGCCTTACATTGAAATTCTTTACTACGATGAAGCCAAGACTCTGACTTCACCTGGATGGAGGTCCCTAAGAGCTCGAGGGAATTTCTTCAGCTGTGAGCATGGAGCAGTGTCTCTGTCCCACCACCACTGACACCAAATGAGCCCAGTACTTTTGAATTCAGCCTCACTCAAGTTTGCAGAACATGGGAAGAAAGCAGCTGGATTGTTTCCCAGAGTACAGCATGAATGGTGTCTAGTTCAGTGTGTCCTTGATCTCCTCAGAAAGACTGTCCTTAGGATTTACATTTCTGTTGATGTTATGATCCTCCTCATTGCCACCAGGAAGCCCCGTTAAAGCTCTTCTTACATCATTCTAGAGTTATATTGGTCTGCATGTCCAAATTCTCCCACATTGCTCCTAAAACCACACGGTCGGTTTCACCACAGCAGCAGCCCTCATTCTGGAGGCCTATTTTCTAGTAGTTCCTTTTCTCATTTTTGTGACCAAATATCTATCCAGGAGCAACTTGGGGAGGGGGAGAATTTCTTTTTATTCATGATCTGAGAGGCTACAGTCCTTTGTGGTGTGGAAGCCATGATGGTTGGTGGTAGGAATATATGGCATCTCAGCAGACCAGGAAGCGGGGAAGAATAGTGCTGGGGACTCAACTATCTTCCTTTTCCTTCTCACTCATTGTCAAGCCTCAGCCCATGGAATGGTGCCGACAGCTTTCAAAAGCCATCCCTTCCTCAGTTGGCTATCTCTGGAAATATCCTCATGACTACAACCAGGGGTGTTCCTCACTAAAACCCTAGGCATTCCTTTATCCCATCAAGTTAATCAAGTTGACAATCACACATTTGACAAACAGATTAGAAAACTGGGTTACCTGACTGTCCCATCCCCAAGACTTGTACAGGCTTCATGTGATTCTATATAGATAGACAAAGCCAAAGAAAGCACAATGTATTCAAAACAACCTCTTCTACCACTCCTGGGTCCTACAAACTGCTATCCAGATTCAAAATCATTTTAGTTTGGTCAAGATTCTTCTATTGTGAAGTAGGGTAATTAAGAACTGTCTGAAATTCTAACTTTGTGTTGGATTTTTTTCTTCTGAACCTTTGAATCTTACCTATAATCAGAACTGAAGAGTCCCTAAGTCAGAGCCAGCTACTAATTATCATGGGAGGGTACAGTTTTGGGGAGTGATATTCTTAAAGCATAACAATAAATGATTAAAACTAACAGGATTTCCGAGGAACATGTACACATAAACTATTTAGATCTACAAAAAGATACACCCAGAGCCAAAGAAAACCCTAAACCCACCCTGGGGAGAACTCTGCCTTCTAGAAGGCAGTTGAGCTTCTACCAAATGCCCTGGAGGAATGGTCAAATTCTCTGTAGTTTTCTGGAGGTGGAAATAATGAATGACAAGTGACCATAATGAAGCCATGATGATCTCCACGACACTTTCCAGGGTGCAGGACATCACCAACCTGTTAGTCTGACATGTTCTGGGAACATCAGCCATTGATACTCTTGTTAAGGCACATAAACATTTCCCACACAACTAGACTCTACACATTTCTGAGACATACTTCTTGTTTCACATTCAAGGTGGCCTTGTACAAGAATCGGTATTAAGCAAACATGTCCGACTGGCTTTACAATTTTTCATGGATTCAGTCGATGTCTTCTAGCAGCACAAAATCAGAAGTACCATTAGATGTTAACTTTATTCAAAGGTAATGTGGACTGGGAAACTGAACGTTCAAGATGGGCAAATATAGACACCCATGTAGACATATACATACACACATAAAAATGTTATAAAACTGTCCAATGAAGAAAAGAACAGTAAGATAAAGAGAGTAATTATCAACATTATATCAACATCCTCATCTGGCTGTGTTCATGTGATGGCTGTCAACAACCTTTATTTAGAATTGAATACAAGTTGGATGTGATAACTCATGCTGATCCAGGAAGATTGTGATGAGTTTAAGGCTAGCCTAGGCTACATAATGAGATACTATCTCAAAAAAAAAAAAGGAAAGAAAAAATGAAGAAAGAAAGAAAGAAAGGAAAGAAAGAGAGAAAGATAGAAAGAAAGAAAGAAAGAAAGAAAGAAAGAAAGAAAGAAAGAAAGAAAGAAAGAAAGAAAGAAAGAAAGAAAGAAAAAGAAAGAAAAGAAAGAATCAAATGCAATGCCTCTCTTGCTCCTGGTACATAGGCAGGCCTTAAGAGAGTGGAAATAGGACTGCCTGAGAAGGTGGACCCATAAATGAGAGACAGCACATCAACCAGACCCCAAAAGACTCTCAGTGGCCCAACATGAAAGGTTGATATGGATGGACATGTGGTTTATGTCTGTAATTCCAGTACCTTGGAGGCAGAGGCAGGAGAATTACAAGTTTGAGGCAATCTAGGCTATGTCATAAGACCTTGTCTCAAAACACAATAGGCCAGTGTAGCACCCTATACCAACAATAGCCAAGTTGGATGAGGCAGACAAAGTGGAGTTTCAGTGCCTGCTGGCTGCTGAACAGCAGAAGGCTCAATTCCCAACAGAGGTGCACCACGTCATGGAGCCATGTTGGGATGAGTATGTGGAAAACCTAGGGAACTGGCTAGACTCTTGTACTGAAAACTGCGTCACTAGCTGTGTGGACTGCTTCACTAACACTCTTGCCATAACTGGTCAGTTTGCACAGAATGTCCAGAAAGGAGGTCAGTAGGCTGGCCCTCAGGAGAATGACAGAAGACACAGGACTTGTTATTAAGCAGGGGGACTTCTAGTGGAGGAAAAGTTGTCTAGCTCATGTCAGCTTATGAGCAGTCAGTTGTCAGGTCTGTTGGTGCTGGAACCTAAACAACTCAAATGTTTAAAAAAAAAGTTAATCTCTGGAATATGACGTAAAAAAGGTGAGAGAAAGAGAATGGATAGGTTGGAGACAGCTGTGTTCTTAGAATTGAAAAAGGCCAGCAGCCAGGAGGCTTGCGCTAGGTCAGGCTGAAGCTGGGAGCTGGAATTAGCAGGAGAGTGCAAGGCACAAGGCCATCCCTACAGATCTGAGAGCAGAATTCAATTCGATGGCAAGCCTTCCACCCAGACGGTAAGCTCATGCCACACTATACATAACACAACCACCCAGGAAGAGGAAGAGAATCTAGAAGCCAGTCAGGTCCAGGCACGTAGCTCAGTATTAGAAATAAAGGAAGAGGGGGAAGAAAAAGGGGGAGGAGAAAGGAGAGGAAGAGGAGGAGGTAGATGAGGAGGGGGGAAGAGCACCACAGCTCAGCACTCAGTGACAGACTACTCCTTTCTGAATCTGTGGTCCCGTGTGTCTCTGCAGTACTCCTAGTTCTGCCTGAGAATGGGTTGTCATCTCTTTTACCAATGGGGTCTTTTCTCTCAATGCCTGTGTGTCAACAGACTTATCTGTTCCTTGACCTTTCAAGGCAATAATTACTGGAACTACATCTTCCAGCAGGAATCAAGTGTCTCTCCATGTTTTAAGATCAAAGTGCAGACCTCTGGCTCCTGTGTCTGCCTCCAGAGAGCACCAGTCTCTTCCAATGCCAGCTTCCTGCATGACTCCTGTTTCATCCAATTGTTTTCATAGTGCTAAAGCCTTCTGATTAAACTACACTGGGAAATGCTCTGAAAACTGGATGATTTTTGTGCTTTCTCCTTGATTCTTGTCATTTAGGTTTCAAAATCCCTTCTACTTTATTTAACTGACAATCTAATTTCTTTAAGCTCTTTTTATTCAAGGATTATCAGAATGCTCATATTTAGTGGATAAAAGTTTGGTGGAAAATGGAAAAGTTATACTATCAAAGCCCCTCTCTGAAAGAAAGAAATTAATTGATCCATTTAACCAAGTGATCAACGTTAGCCTTACTAGTGCAGGGAGAGATGGAGATATAGGCCCTTTGTACCTCCTGATGCCCTCCTTAATGAGATGAATAAAAAACACTTTATGACAGAGGTCCCCTGCCAAAATGATGTCATCTGAATGGTGAGGGAATACGAAGCTCAGAGAGAATTCTACAAAATAACTGATGCTTGTGTTTGCCAACAGATGGTTGTGAGCCACCTTGTGGGTTTGGGAACCAAACCTGGGTCTTCTGCAAAAACAGCTAGAGCTCTTTTTTTTTTTTTTTTTTTTTTTTAGAATTCTTGGGAATACTGATTTTATTTTCCCTGAATATCAGAGTCACATGTCATGAATTTTGAAAGAACAGGTACATTTACCTTTTCCCCCCGACTCTGTTGTACAATTCTAAACTATACCATCGTTCCTGAATAAACATACTTTAAATTTAAAAAAAATGAAGAAAAAGGAAGGATAACCATGTCTATAGACAGAAAGAAGAGACAAGATCTTGATTTATTTTTGTCACCTTAACATAACCTAGAGTCACTTGGAAAGAGGCAACCACAGTTGAGAATTGTCTCAATCAGACTGGCCTGTGACCATGTCTGTAAGAAATTTTCTTGATTGACAATCAATATGGTAGGGTCCAGCCCACTGTGGGTCAATGGCCCTGGTATGTATAATCTGCCTGCCTGCCTGCTTGCCTGCCTGCCTGTGTGTCTGTCTGTCTGTCTGTCCATCCATCCATCCATCCATCCATCTACTTATCTACCTACCTACCTATCTGTAGAGAGAGGTATTTCTCCATAGTTCCTGCTTCCGTTCCCGCCCTTGCTTCTTGGAATGATGGACTGTGATGTGTAAGTGTAATCCAGATAAATCCTTCCCTCCTCTAAGCTACTTTTGGTCATGTTGTTTGTCACAAAAACAGAAAGGAAACTAGAACAGAAGATAATATGGAGATGCTAAGGACCGCTCTCATAAAAGCAGTTCTCAGTCAGTGCTCTTAACTGAGGAATGACCTCTACAGCCCCAGGCATCTTATTTTAGGAAATTCAGGGTGAAATATTTAGAGAGCAAAGGATTATTGTTCCTGAAGCTGTCAGATAACAGGATATTTTATATGCAAAAAGATTGATTGATGGAAGATGGATGAGAGAGGAAAGTGCTAATGAACAAAAGTATGGTTAAACATTATAGGAGAATTAGGAAAAAAATATATGGTGATTCTTTGTGTTCCCTTAGATACTTTCCTGTAATTCTGAAATAATGTCTACATGAAAACTAAAACGTGTTTCTAGAGACCAGAAGTCTGCTTAGAAACCATGTTTGGCATTTGTAGAATTTGAACTGAGGACAAGGCAGATACCAAAGTCGTGGAGCCAGCTTGATAGGAGAGGAGAAGGGGGCATCCACACTGAGGGAAGGACATGGGGGGAGGGTGGCTGGAGCTGCCCTCCCTCAGAAGGAACAGAAAATGGTCACACTGATTCTTACCTTCCAGACAGTACCGGGTAGACCTTGGAAACCTCTAATCTGACTGTATGAGGCAATTTTTAATGTGTAGTTCACTGTTTTGTACTAGTTACCGTGCAGCACATTTCTGTGTGTCATCATATGACAGATTAACTTTAATAAGATTCAAACTATAATTATGTTATTGGTGTCATAATCATTACTATGTGGCTCAGTTTTAACAACGTGTTGTTTAGGTTGTTTGTTCCTTCGTAATGTCAGACTAACATGGTTTGGAGCTGGATTTCTCACTGTTTGCTTTGGGAAACTGAGCAAGGCTGGGGCTTACTAGGGCTTTGCTTTGTCTGTGGCATCTCAGGCTGAGAAAGTGACTTAACAGAAAGCTTCGATGTCATCCACAGAACAGGGTTCAAATTCAACCCATCCACTTTCCAGAGGGAATTGGAACAAGTTGCCTACCCATGTTGAGCCTTTCTTACCTACACAGTGTAAAAACCAGGATGTAGTTGTGAGGGTTGAGTAGGAGGTTCACTGAAGAACCTACCCGGTCTTTAGGTTACCACAAAGGGATCACTAGTCACCTTCCTTTCAGAGAATCTGGATGAACCAATACTCGTTTCCCTTGTAAAATTCTACTGCACCATTCCAGCCAAGTGAGCCTTCTCTTCTTCGTCGCACACTTTCCCCAAACCAGCAGGTTTTATGCCAGTTTTACCCACACTGCAAATGAGCAACTTGCATTTGGCTGAGTCTTTCAGTGTTCCCAATGGTGGCTGGTTACTAGAGTCATCTGGGGAGCTTGAGAACTGTTGGATTTCCCCTCCAGAGATTGACTTGATTGGTCTGTGAAAGTCTGGCCACAGGGATACTGTGACCACTAACACGACTTCAGCTTGTCACTGCTCCTCTGTGGTATTGCCACGTGGGTCACGTGGGTCTCTGGCCAGGTTTACAGGAGTCAAGGGAAGCTTTGTGTCCACTCTGCCTCTTCTCACAAAAGTCGACCAGGAGCTTGTGCAAAGAGTTTATAAGAGTGCCCATGTTGGGCTAGAAATCTAGACCTCTGGAGGAAGATTCCCAGGAGAGTAGAAAGAGCACCAGTGACAGTCAATGCCAAATAATTTTGGCTATTCTTGTTTGCCATTAGCCAAGACTTCAAAGGTTCAGTGTAAGAGTGCTACTGCTTAGGGCCAATGTATTGAAGAGGTCGTTCAAAAATGCCAGGACGTGGATTCTCAGGTGGTGAGTTCTTCTAGACAGTAGCTCTCAACCTTCCTCATGCTGTGACCCGTTAATACAATTCCCCATGTTGTGGTGACCCCCAACCATAAAATTATTTTTGATGCTACCTTATAACTGTAATTTTGCTACTGTTTTGAATCATAATGTAAATATCTGTGTTTTCTGATGGTCTTAGGTGACCTCTTTGAAAGGGCCGTTTGACCCCTAAAGGGGTTGTGACCCACAGTTTGAGAAACCCTGCTCCATAGGATACCTGACAGATAACAGCTCATATGCACAGCAGATTCCCAGGGTAACCCCCTGGCTACTCTTCAGCAGGAAAGTGACAGTAGCCATGTTCATTGTAGGAATAATCATCCTCCTACTGCTTCCTTTTAACGAGGTATAGTCACCTGTGGCTTAGTGACGGAGACAGTCTAAGAAGTGTGCTCTTATGTGATTTTTGTCTTTGTGTGGACATCGTAGGGTACACTCACTTAACCCTAAGTGCTCCAGGTCTCTCACTTTGTGTCCTTCTCGATGCAGTCAGGAGTCATGTAAACAACATAAGGCTGCTACTGACTAGCCTTGAGCACACTGCTCTACAGTAAAGCCGTTGGAAGCTTTAAAAATGGGTAGCTTTAAAATAGAGGTATACCATTCCAAATCAGAAGCCATGGTCATTGTTCGCATTGTCAGTTCTCTGTGGGGCACATAATTTATGTGCTGTGCTGCTATGTGACAGGCACCAGCACCCCCACAAACGCTGCAGCGCTGCCTTGTACCGCCACACCATGAGAGCTGTGACAGCTATGATACCGTAGAGACTTTCTCGGTTCCATTATAATCTCTGGCACCATCTTCATCTTTGTAGTCACTGGTTGACTGAAAAATGGACGTGCCCAGTGGTGGTGGCCCACAACTTTAATCCCAGCACTTGGGAGGCAGAGACAGGCAAATCTCTGAGTTTGAGGTCAGCCTGGTCTACAGAACAAGTTCCAGGACAGCCAGTAATACAGGGAGAAACCCTGTCTTGAAACAAAAAAACCAAACCAAAAAAATGCGATGCATCATTATGCTTGCAAGTGTCATTCCTCCTCTGTTGGTAACAAATGACAGCTGTACTGGACTTTGTTACAAGGTGGCTGCTCTGACCTGCTGGACTGCAATCGGGGAAGACAGTTATCCACACTGCAAATACAAAAAAAGCGAGCGTTTAGAGCCATGTCTGGTTCCCATCTGCACCCAACTATTAATACACAAAGTCTCCTACAGTGTTCACACTTTTCTTTGTTAATTCTGCGAGGTATTGCGGTGTTAGGATCTGGGGAAACAGAAGTCAGATTAGCATAAATGAGCATCATAGTGACTGAGGCTAATTGTGTACCTTGGTTCAGTAAGAGGCATTTATCAAGTCGAAGCTTTGTTTGAACACGCAGTCCCGCAACAAGCACTGGTTAGGCACCCACTGAACGCAAGCATTGTGTACAGTGCTTGTGGACAAACGTTTATAGGAATGCATTAACAGCCACTATGGCCGTATGCTAATTAGTGTGAGCCCGCTACAACAGGCAGTTCTTGCTAAGTAGTCTTCCTTAGCTCCATTTTCCTGGAGAAAGGGAGACTTTCAGCGATTGCCAGGCCATTTAGCTCCACAGCTAGTCCCTACTCATTCCAGTGAAACCTTGCGCAAACCCAATGTACACCTTTAAAGAATTTGCTCTGTTTTGATTATTAAGGTAAAGAGCCCCCAGCATCAACTCTCTGGTACCCTTTTCTCTGTGGAAAGCTCCAAACACCGCACTGATCAGAGCCTGCAGCCTCTGCTCCTAGGCGCACATTACTTATGGCACATTGAGAAGTTGGGTCTTAAGGAAAGGCAAAGCCGTGTGGAAGTTTTCGCGACTTCTGAGGACCCCCGGATCTTCCCAAGGAAGAATGCTGGTTCCTAGGCTGCCCCCGCTTCTCCCAACTTGCATGCTGTGTCTCCAAAGTCTGTTTGCTTGCAAAACCCTGTGCGATGGCCACACCAAATACCAAACCTTGGACAGGAACCAAACGGTCACTTCCCCGCCCTCCCAGCACAGTATGCAAATCCGAGCACCAGGAAGTAGCTGGGACCTCTTGGCCGAGCTCAACGACAGCCAGTTCCTCTCCCACCGAGCCGGGCCGGGTGCCTCCCTGCTGACTGACGCTCTGCAGCTAAATAGCCTGCTGCAGGCCGGGCACTGTCCCCTGCGCAGTGTACCCGCAAGCGCCCGCCACGCGTCCTGCCACCCCGGCCGGCAGCTGCTTCTCAGGCCGGCCCCGCAGGGCCGTCCGGTCCCGTGCACCGCTTTGAACTTAAGTCACCGTGGAGTTCCGCCGCCCCGAAACTTTCACCGCGAGCGAGTGAGTCGGGGGCTTGAGCGCGGGGTGGGCGCGTCGGGTGGACCGAAGACTGGGCCACTGCCGGAGCACAGGTCGCTTGCTTGGCTAGGGACCCGGAGATTCGGCGCAGCAACGGCAGCGG